GAGCTTTCTAACAAGGAAGCCTAAAAGCTTCATATTTCCTTACTAGAGCACTGGTTAAAAATTCACAAGTGTACAGAAAACACTGGCTAAGAGTTAACTTAAATTATGTTCAAAACCACAAAAACGAAAAATATTTTCTTTTTTTTTCTTTTTTGTGGGAGAAGCAGTGAAGAAACTGCCTTCCTCACTAGAGGAGGATTTTAGCGCAGTCTGTCAGCCAGTTTCCTTACTTTATTTAACCATTTTTATTAAAAATATTTTCTTTCTTTATCTTTACTATACTGACACTGATTTGTTCATAGTGTGACACACAAAATGCAACTGGGTTGCTTTTTAACTCTTTCATTATAGGTTAACCACCCTAAAAATTAACTTTATGGCTTAGTACCTAAGAAGAAAGGGAAATAACAAAAAAGTAATCATATGTTTTGCACCAGAAATCTACATTCAAAATTTTGTATCTCACTTACCACCCATGGTTTGTCACAGAAGTTATAGATTGACTCAAGGGAGTTAATACTCGGGATGCCAGCATATTGCATTCCAATGATTAAGTTACGGAAATCTTCATTCTCAGCCATACTGAACGAATGTTGTCGAACAAGAACAAAATCAGGTCTGAATGATCTGAAGAGAAAAAAAGTATGTAACTATTAAGTGATGATCAAATTCCTTTTTCATCTGACAATAAACAGCAGTCTTAGAAGGGAAAGTTGTACCAGCAGCTGGACAGAAAAAAAATTAAAATAGTATTTAAAAGGAACGTAATGAGTTGAAAATCGAAGACCATGTATTATTAATGGCACAAGCATGAAACCAGATTAACATTATTTTTTATCTATGCATTCTTTCCGTCTCTGTTCAATTTCTGTAATTTCATACTATTAGAAGAGAAATTGCTACCACCAATAGCATGACAATCTTATATGAAAAACAAGCATACACAGACAATTAAGACAGGAATTTGGCTGGTTTTTAGGGCTGTGAGAAGCTTCAGGTGCTGATTTGATTCGGAGGAGATTCAGCCCAATTCAGCAGCCGAATCCCCGAATCCGAATTGAATCAGGAGACTAGTAAAACGGTCCGAATCAATTCAAAGCTCTCTGAATCGATTCAGAAAAGATTTGGAGAGTTTTAGAGTTTGGGCAGTCCCTGCTCAATGGCGCAGGGAGCTGGACCCGAATTCTGTGCTGGTAAGTAGGGGGTGGGGGGGCTG